TGTGTTTGTCAGAGTTGGAATGTGTGTGCAACTGTAAGATAGTAAGATCGAAAAATTGTGTGTGTATGAGACATGTTGTAAAGTTCTTTGAGTGCTCAAGTGGAAAAGTGCTATATAAAAACAAGTTTATTTAATATCTACATTGAGTCTAGTGCTCTGGTTGTGCTGAAGGCAAATCATGTCTTCCTCGATTTTCTTCATGAAAGGGAAAAAAGACCAGAAATATACCATCCAGGTGCCAGTGGTGAATTCACATGCCAAAGAGTAAGAAGTGATCTTCTTTTAAATGTGGTGAGTGACTGTTGTCATGGCGACATTAGTTAAAAAGCACGCAAATGTCTAGTATGTCAATAGTTGTTGCATTATTTTCCAAAGTAAGAATAGTTTCTATTTATCCATTATGTAGCTAATCCACACGTTTGATAGTACACTACACATGCAAAATAATCTGATTCTGTCCAAACAGAAGATGATTTTGATCTTCATGATCGTCGTAGCTCCAGCAATGACCGCTGTGGGACAAGGTACACTTCAACTATTAAACAGTATGTAGAAGAACAAAATAAATCTACAATGTTAAGTCATTATTAACCTCCTAAGAACTCTTTCATGGCATGCATTTTTAATTTCTCTTTGCTATTTGGGCTGATTGGGACCTGATGAATGTAAAAACAAAGAATTACCAGATTTTTATTTTTTACCTGATTTTTTTTTTGACAAAAATGAGATCCACATATGAAGACATTCGTTTTAAATTTTAATAGAACAGTGGCAGTCTAATGTCCTCATAAGTGGATATCAGGCCTTGTAGAGTAAAATTCAGCATTTTGGTCTAGACAACCCAAATGTTGAATGATGTCCACATATATGGACCAGGTCCTACGAGGTTAAAGCATTTAAATGTTTTGTCTGATGAGAGAACATTTCTCTTTGATATAATGCTGTACAACAGTACATCAGACAACAGTGTCATTAATACTATTACTCAAATTCCATACACATGGATTTTGTCAGTAACTATTAATCAGTTACATAGATACAAAGTTTATGGATTTCTGTTTAGTACAAATACATGATAGTTATTAATTTCCCTCTTTGTATACATTTGTTTATTCATTTTCTTACCAGGGTCTTCAGAATGCAATCTCACTGAACCTGGACCCCAGACGTGTTTTGGAGTTTTAGGAGAACCACTCGTCTTTTACCTACCTACTAATCCCCATATAAAGACAAGCTTGAAAAAGAGTACAGAAAACATTTTAACCTTAATAATACATTATGATACATTAATTAGTCTCAATGAAAAATACAAGAATTGTACTACAGTCTCCACAAATGGAACATTTAAGCTCAACAAAGCAATAAAAAATGACTCTGGAGAGTACACGATGGAAACACACAGTTCTACTGAAGGTGTGTTATTGCACACAGTTAACATCCATCTACATATACTCGGTAAGACCAACAACTTATTGATTTATTGAATAACATCTGTGTAATAACAATGTACATGTCAAAATGCGGTTTAGAGCGAAAACCAGAAATTTAAAAAGCAGTTAGTTACATGAACAGTTTATAGATTGTATTTATCGTTGTTCTTATTGCTGGTTATATATTATAAGAGAGTTATCAAATGATCATTCATTTTGTGCACACATTTTATATAAGTAAGCTATGAGTAAGCACTTACATAAACCCTGTACTGATATGTATTTACACTCCTTAGAGTAGCAGTGAATCTGATATTGCAGTTGATACTGTGTCTATATGTGACTATGTGTTTGTTTTTTCAGCTCCTGTGTCAGAACCAGCTGTTACGCAGATGTGTTTATCACCAAAACAGATGACAGTCAGCTGTTTCTCTGAAGGAGATCAAGTAGAGTTCATTTTATCTTTGGATGATAAGTTGTTAATACAGACTACAGCCAACAGTATAGAAAACCGCAACATTTCAAATGTTACCATCAACTTACCTGGTCAACTGATGGAAAGCCTGACATGTGTTGCTCAAAATAATGTCAGCAGAAAACAAAATATCACCCACCTTACAAGCTGCACAGGTAGTGTGAAATATATGTAATAGAAATTAACATGTTAAATGTATTGTAAAGCTAAAATATATCTTTGGATAATCAAAGACATTAATAACCAGTAACATTTTTCAGTAGCGTAGATCTGTTTTTAAAAGTTATCTATGCTGACAAAGTCTCCCAAAGATATTTTATTTTTTTGCAAAATTCAGTTTTTTAAAAACTAGAATAACTTAGCAGGTACCACTAAAAACAGAGTTTCTGAAGACATAGATGATAGTTTGCAGAGCTGGCAGTGGATGTTAAATTGCAATTTGTACTGCATACATATGTGACCACATGTTTGTCTTTCAGCTCCCGTGTCAAAACCAGCTGTATCTCAGATGTGTTTGTCACCAGAACAAAGGAAAGTCAGCTGCTCCTCTGAAGGAGATGACGTAGAGTTCATCTTCTTATTAGATGATAACTTGTTGATAAAAACCCAATCCAACATTTCAGAAAACCACAACATTTCAAATGTTACAATCAGCTTACATGATCAACTGCTGGGAAAGCTAATGTGTATTGTCCAAAACAATACAAGCAGACAACAAACCATCATCCACCTTATAAGATGTGCAGGTAATATAAAAAAATGTTCTACTTAGATATTCATTTATTTTATATTTTTAATTATTTTGTTTAGTTTATATATTCATAGGCATTGTTCTAATTAAGTTATTTATATCAATCTTATAGGTCTATAGACCAATTACCTTATAGATACTGAAGCATAAATTGCAAGTGGCTTGAGGCCATTATATCCCCATTATCTCAGTACATTCTTCTTAATGTTTCAATTTCTAGGTAATATTTCTGACCACTGTGTTGTGAC